GGCTCCTGTCGCCGAGCGCCACCTCCCAGCAGGCCGCGGCGGCACCGCAGCCATCGTGGTCAAGTCCAAGAAGAGCCCTCGCTGCCCAGGCCGCGGGCGGACAGACGGGCCTGCAGGGTCGCGGGCAGGGCCACCCACCCCTGCCCTGCTCCCAGCTGGCGGTTGCCTGGCGCCGTGGGGGGCTGCCCACCAGGCGAGTAGTGCGCCCTGACCCCAGCAGGGGCTACAGCCCCCCCCGGGTGCCCACGCTCGAAGCAGCCCCCCGGTGCCTGAGAAAGGCCTGGGCCTCCTCTGGGCCCTGCCCCGGGCTGCTGGCGCTCAGCTGCTCCGTCTGCCAAGGTCAGCACCCACACGCACCCCCACGGACGGGCTCCACGCTGGGCGCTTCCAGGCCAGGCAGGCCGGCCACCGCCCGACTGACCAGCTGCAGACAGGCCCCTCATCGGCGGGGCCCAGGCGGAGGGGCCGAGTGCTGGGTGGCCTGGGACTGGGGTGCGGGTGGGCAGCCCCTGCAGCCGCCCGGGCCCGGCCCACCCTGGGGGGGCTCCCCGGAAGTCGGTGCCCCCCACCCCGCCCGGCCCTCACCGTTGGTATAAGGGTTGGCGGTCTTCTTGTTGGTCATGACGCGGGCGGTGGCGTTATTGACCTGCGGAGAGAGGGCGGGTGAGGCGCCATCGCTTCCTGGGGCCACAGCCCCCGGGGGGCTGCAGGAGGGCCCCTTGACAGCCTCTGCCACCAGCCTGGCACCCCACGCTGGCTGCCCTCCTCCCCGCCTTCCTCTCTGCTGTGAGCCAGCCCCACTGTGCCCAGCTCCGGGTAGTGCCAGCCTCACCCACCGGTCTTTCATCTTCACGGGCTGTTCCCACAAACCCCGCCCCAACCTTTCCGACCCCCCCGAGGCTGTGGAGAACAGGGCTAGCGGACCCCCTGCCTGGCTAAATGGCGGGCCGGCACCCCACCCCCAAGGCCGGAGTCTGGGCGGCAGGGCAGTGCGTGGCCCCCGGGGCCAGGCAGGGCGGGAGAGGAGCAGGAGGGCCTGTGGGCGCCTGGGAGGGTCAGGCCACATGGCCTCCCTGCCAGGTCCAGTGCGGGCCTGGGCCTAGGGCCCCGGCCCGAGGTGCCCGCCGGAAGCGGGCTGAGGTCAGTGCCACCATTGCCTGAGCTGGAACCCGCCCTCCCGCCGGGGCCGCGGCTCTGCCTGGTGAGGGCCCCCAGACCGCCCTCCTGGCCTGCCTGTGACACCCCGGAGCCACAGCTCCCCGGGGACATGGAGCCCACCAGGTCCCGGACCTGTCCCCTGCTCTCCTGCTGCTTTCCCGGTGCCTGTCCGGCTTGGCCACGTGTGGTGGCCAGCTCTGGGGGGACGGTGGGGCTGACGGCGGGGGCCGCCGTCCAGCAGGCAGCAGCCCCTCCCACGGGGAGGCAGACAGCTCACACGCGCCCTCTGGGGCTCCCCCCAGTGTCTGGCTGGTCCCCATTTTGGGGGGCCTCCTCTTGGAAGGTGAAGTGCCCTTGGGCAAGCCTGAGCGGGACCACCGGAGACGGCAGTGACCGCCGAGGCTCTGGAGCGGCCGCCCTGCCCCCGCCCGGCCACGGGAGCGCGGTCTGCTCTCCGCCGGGCGGGGGTCTCGGGCCGGAGCCATCCCTGCCGCCACACACTTATCTGAGCACCTCGATTTTCCGTCCCTCTACGATCGTCCCATTCAGCTTCTCCCGGGCTCGGTCAGCATCTGAGCTAGTTTCAAAAGTTACAAACCCGAAACCCTGCGAGTGGAGAAGGACAGACGGGAAAGAGGACGGGGTGAGGGACGGAGGG